TGGACATAAATTCCAATCTGACATATGTCCATTCCGAATGGACGTAAATTCCCATCTGACATATGTCCATTCCGAATGGACATAAATTCCAAATGGACATACAACATCCTTGTAATTAAACGCGGCTGAAGTATGGATAATCAGTTAAGGACACACACTGCTTATATAGCTTCAGGCGTCCCTTCAGCTACTCCACATGTGATTAATATTACTGGCTGCAGAACGGAGTGAGTGAGACGCATTAATAAACCGTACTTGTATAATCGAAAAATATTATTATTACATAAATGAAATAAGTTTATTAATATTAACATTTTAAATTAACATTACTATTATTACTATCGAAATTATTAACTACAATAACAATACTTTATTATTATGTGTGTAACTCTTGTGTGATTCTTGTACTCTCCTACGGTGACAACAATACAACACAATACAAAAACTCGACTTTTCATTTTTTCATGAAAAGTGAAAATTTTGACCCTTAATTGTTGATATGGACGACATTATTTATTAAACTGATGTAAATGTATACGGTAATAGGCAATTGAATTCATTTTTCCTAATTGGAATTTATCTAAAAAAGGAATTATGACTAAAAAAGAAACATTTGCGCCCTAAACATATTTTGAATTTATCTAAAAAGGAAACTATGATTTAAATGAGAAATAACGTATGCGTATACGAACATTGTCGCTGTTAACGAAACAGCGTATACACATACAAATATCGTTATGCGCATACAAACAGTTAATTCCGACACTGTCTGTTTGTCAATATCCTATGCATATGTAAAAAAAAAAAAAAAGGTAACCAAAAGTATTCGTATTAGTATTCGATATGGGCCTCCTGTTAAAAAACGTCAATGAAACAGCGTTATTACTGCAAAGAATACCGTTGCGTGTACAACATTGTCACTGCAAAGAATACGTTACGCACACAAACATCGTCACTGCAAAGAATAACGTTGCGCACACAAACATTATCGCTGCAAAGAATACCGTTGCGCATACAAACATTGTTGCTGCAAAGAATAACATTCCCTAAACCCAACTTACTTATCCTGCTGACGATACGTCACTTCAAAGAATACCGTTGCGTGTACAAACATTGGCGCTGCAAAGAATAACGCTGCGTATACAAACATTTTCAATTAGAATTTTTGACTTTAAATATAAAAAATATAAACTGTGTTAACAACGGTTACTGTCCAAGACGCCTTTGTTACAGAATAAAATAATACAAGAAGTAGCCTAGTACTTTTATGATATTAATATGGGCCCTGATCTATCAAAATGACGGTTAACGATATGGTTACACAAATTATTATTTTTTTCATAAACTTAATGAAACCTTATATAATTGATATGGATTTGGAAGCAGAAGAAATCGAAGTAGAGAAAAAAGGTAAAGAAGGAAATACTATAAAAATAGCGGAAAAAAAAGCAGTTTCATATGGATATACAATACATTGTTCAGATGGAACAACGCAAAAACCAGTAATCAATCATGAATCAGAAAATATAATAAAAGACTTAATGGAAAACCTTCAAGAAGATCTAGATGTTATTTTAGATAAGCTCTGTG